CAATAAGAACATAAATTTATCCAGAGATAACACGTTGAACATGTAATGAACAACATGGAAGTTTACAGGCTCGACTTTTATGGATTTACACGTGCAATCTGAAATTTCCAGGGATCAGCATACTGTATCGCAAGCCTATAAAGCAGCCACCGAATCTGTTCTCGTTCCTCAGCCCGCTCAGCCTCGACGTATGGATTTACATGGTGACAGCATATCTAGGCGTTTCCGTGCTGCTCTTCATACTCGCGAGGCAAGTGAATCCACTATACTTATATCTCGATAAAAATATTACACCATCCGTGACGAAATTTCACGAACTGCACTCGAAACAGACTTCGAGATGCGAAGTCATTCGTCATCATTGTTCGTTAATTTATTCTGTCAATAATAATTGCAATGAACAAAATTACCTCAAAAGGAATTCTCGCCATTTCTCAGAATTTGATTAAACAGAAAACTGGAACAGCTTGTATCGTTGAGGACAAAAACATCAGGTATATTCACCGTCGAAGTAGTCCGTCAATAATAATTAGAATAATTAAATTAACTCGTTAACAACTCTCGCCTTTTCTCAAAAGACAAAATTTCATTAAAGACAACTGGAACAGCTTCTACTACGAGGGCAGAGAAATAGTAGGAATATTCGTCGTCGAAGTAGTACTACCTCGGCTACGCGTGTTCACTTCCTGATAAGCCGTTGAGCAAGTGATTTAATTCGAAGTGACTCGCGGGAGTAGGAACGCCGTGGGGAGGGACGGGCGAATTCTAATTTCCCGGTCGATGATACGCGCCGAGCAGGAGGAGTCCGGTTGCGCGAAACGAAAGCAAAACGACGAAACGAACTGAACTACGAGAGTAACAAGCGAACGTCGTACTCGTCGTCGCATTCCGCGTTCGGTCTATCTTTTTACCCGCGGTTAATCTTCATACGTAAATGGCGAAAGGGTCCCTAGGAAGACAAGACGTAACCGTACCGAGGAAAGAAAGGGAACAGAGGTTGTCTAGAGTTGATCAGTTTAGATTCACCCCGTACGAGTGGTACAATCCTCATCCGTGCAACAAAAACCCGGACCATCTGGAGAACCGCTTCAAGCTGCTCAACTGCATGTGGTTCTGCATCGGATCCTTAATGCGGCAGGGCTGTGACATTCTGCCCAAGTAAGCCGTTAGATTGGCATCACACGGTCGCTTGATCGTTCCTTCACTGTGTATCTTGTCTTTCCGTTTTTCTGTTCCCATCGTTTTCGGCCCGTCGTTTGTTCTATTTTATTTTCTTCTTCTTCTACTTCTACTTATACGCTCGCTGTCTAAGTTACACTATGTCGTGTACGTACATACATACATACATAGCTGTTGGGGTCGGTTTCGCTGTGCATCCGAACCCGAGACACACAGTCGTCCCGCCGCCGCCGCCATCGCCGGTCGCTTCCGTTCGGCCGACGCATGTATGTAAATTTATCAGCAAAGATCACATAATCAACGAATCCACTCTCGTAACGATTTACTTGTTCACATCCCACGGACGTGCCACAGACCCTGACGATATGACAGACCCTGACGGGTGTCCGCCTCGCGGCGACGCTTCAAGAATTAATGAATTATTCAACGGGACGAATTCGCGAAACCGTCCCGTAGGAATCGGTTATTTCGTGACACGTGGAGTTCCGGTTCTCGTTCGGCGGAGATCGCCCGCGGCGTCTACGGTTTCCTCGTACTTACGCGTCACGGCGCGTTTAAACGGCTAAGGAAAGACAGTATGCGTGAGGACCGACTGCTTTCGCAGTCACAAACACGCGTTTTCCAGAATGTCATTGGCTACAGATAAACTGTATTCCTTCGGTAAAAAAAAAAAATAGTACCGTTTTAGTCAGCATCGATCGTCGCGCGTCCCGCCTGCGTAAATCGCGAGTCTCAGGTCTAATCCTCTCCCTTCTCCTTTCACGTGTCCGCAGGTTCAGCCCCTACGAGTGGGAGAATCCCCATCCGTGCAACGGACAGTCCGAGGTCCTCGAGAACGAGTTCACCCTGATGAACTCGCTCTGGTTCACCATAGGCTCACTCATGCAGCAAGGCTCTGATATAGCGCCGAAGTAAGTGAAACAAAGACGAACACAGACCAGTCAAGTCTCGACCTAATACGATATATACAGGGTGTCCCAAAACTAGTGTCAGATATTGAAATGGGAGGTAGCTGACATAATTTTAAACAACATTTTCCTTAGCAAAAATATTGTCCGATGCGTGGTTGAGGAGTTATTAACAAAAAAACC